CTTTTCTTTTTAATATCTATATTACCATTTGTGAAATTTATATATATAGTTTATGATAGACTTAAAAACGAATTTTATATCAATAGTATTAAATTTATATGTTATACTGTATTATTATCTAGAAATAATAATGTAACAACATGATAAGTCCTATATATTGTTCTTTTATATATAATTTATTTTTTGCTTCTGAAAATAATATTTTTCAATTACAAAAGTTAAAAGGTCAAGATATATAACAATTTATAATCAAAATATTAATCCAACAAAAAAAATTTGTTTAAATATATTTTCTAAATACTTTTAATATTCGAGTGTATTTAAATTTCAATATAACAATAAACATATAAATTTTAATGAAAAAATTTGTTAAATATGGACGTTTGGTTTAAAGTTTTTTGAGAATATAGTAATACGTTATCATACCGTTTTTAATTAATAATATATACACTAGTTAACAAGTATTCATAAAAAGATTGTGCCCGCATGTGTGGACAAAACATGTCGTTTCATCATCTTCCATCTTCATCCAGATGATCCATTTACATGATTCATCCAAATGATCCAAACAGACATTTTGGGAGTGTTTGTTTGTCCATTCAAATGAATTATCTAGATGAATCATCTAAATAGACATATGTTCATTTCTTTATCTCCATTTCCATATAAATAAGTTTAGTAAACAAGTTACTACTATACATTTTTATATATTTTATCATATTTTATTTTTGTTTTACAATATTAATTTTTATTACTTAGCTAAAATATAACTATTTTAAAATATGGTTTTGAAGGAAAAAATCGTTTTGGCGGGAAAATATGTTTGTACGGTTTTGGCGGAAAAAATGTTTTGGCGGGAAAACTCGTTTTTTGCGATTTTGGCAAGAAACCGTGTTTTACGATTTTGATAGAAAAATGCGTTTTGCGGTTTTGGTAGGAAAACGAGGTTTTGTATTTTTCGGAATATGCGAAAAGACGTGTTTTGCGTTTTTGACAGGAAATGTGTTGTATGATTTGGTGGGAAACATGTTTAATAATTTTGGCGGGAAAACACGTTTTTACGGTTTTGATGGGAAAACACGTTTTTGCAGTTTTAGTGGAAAAACACGTTTTTGCGGTTTAAGTAAAAAAAATCTTTACGTTTTTTGATGAGAAAATACGTTTTTGCGTTTTTGATTGGAAAATGCATTTTGGCGGGAAAATATGTTTTTCGTTTTTGGCGGAAAAATGTGTGTGTTGTACGTTTTTGGTGGAAAACGCGTTTTTACGGTTTTGACGGGAAAATATTCTTTGCCGCTTTGGCGGAAAAACGCATTGTGCGGTTTGGGCGGGAATATAGTTTTTCGTTTTTGTGATTTTGGCGGGAAATGTGTTTGTGCTATTTGTCATTTTTGTGAGTAATAAAATGATATTAGGCTTAAATTTGTAATTTGCGATTTTAAAATTTTAGCTTAAATTTATAGAACTCATCCGGATAAGCCATTCAGATGATTTGTAATTTAAAGTCTAAACGAACAAAACTCTCATCTCCATTCAGACGACTCATTTGGATGGTGAAACGAACACCCCCCTAGTTATTTTTTTTTTTACTTTGTTTACACCTATGGGGGAAAATCACCTAGTATTTTAGGGGTATTATAATAATTTTTAAAAATATTTAAACATCTCAATATCAGTTGAAGTTTAATACTTGAGATGTTTACCATAGAAGTTTACTTGTTCGGTCACTTGTTAATTTGTTATATATTACTTGATACCCGGTTTGTATTTGGTAATTGACTCGGTTCGGTTTGAAAAACAAGTACTTGCTACAATTAAGTCGCGTAACAAGTAAGCGGATTTTTATTACTCGCAAATACAAGTCAACTATCAAGTTCATGTTTATTTTTGACTATTTGGTTTGTTACTTGTTTGATTACTTGCTATATATTACTTGATTTATTAAATACTTAATATTTATTTCATTAGTTAATTAAAATTTATGTATTTTGTGAGTATCCACTTGTTACTTGTGTTTTATTTGTTACTTGATTGGTATATGATCCTTAAAATCGAATATGTGTTATGAACAAGTCGTATAACAAGTAGTCTATTTAAACTTGAACAAATATAAAATAGTAAATAAAATTAATTATTTGGCGTTGTTTAGTTTATTACTCACCTTTTTTTAATGAACAAAGATGTATTTTCTTAAATCATAATAAAACAATTCATTTATAGTTCGATTGTTATAAGTGAATCAAACATAAGTGATATATTATATAAACATCTTAGAAATTTCTATTTTTAATATAATATATTTTACCAATAATTAAAATAGAGGAAAATTAATGACATAATATTCATATATATTAAATTTATTTATCTTTAAATTTTAATTAATTATCAAATAATTTACTTATAATTATCAAGTAATTCAAAAATAATTTACAAGTTACAAATAATAAAAATTTGCAAATCCTTCAATTTTTCGTAATTAATTGAAACTGGAAGTATAAGCCAAATGGAATATTAAATATATTCAAAATATCAAGTACTCTGTCTTGTGTCCACTGTTTGAACGGAGCTCGGTCGTGTATCAGCAAAGAGAGTAACATGACTCATCGGTGGATTATTTCAAAGGCGTTTTACTATTTATGAGTGGAAGAGTAAGTTTATTGATGAGAGAGTTGATGTACAAATTAGGAAACAAACGAGGCAAGAAGGCGTTGCTCGGAGAGCTTAGCCTTGAAAGTACAAGTGGGAGAAATACAAAGAGGTGAAAACACTAGTTCTAGCCGCCTTGCAAGTAAGTACTCGATTTCGGATACCCCTTCTCGTTGTCTCCTCCTCTACCTTTATAGTGTGCTCTGCTTCTGGACATTGACCTAGGTCAATGTCCCTTAAGAGGCCCCTCGCCAATGGGCTTTCTGGTCGGCCCATTTAGGTGTGTACTATTCGGCTGCCTTTTGTCTTTTAGTCGTACGCGGCCTTAAACTTGGGCCGAACCGAGGCACGGTCGGCCGTTGGGCCGGCCTGGGTCACTTCTAAGCGGAATTTTCCTGTTACCCAGTGGGCCCTGAAGGATGGGGCAATCCACCTCCTACAGTAAGTCGAGGAGGGCTTGCTTGAGAGCGGCGATTTCCTGCACAGTTTCCAGATCTGGGGCACCGGAGGTGTGGGTTTTCTCCTCGGTACTTTGGGCCTGCGTTCCGGCGACTTGGTCACTAGGGTTTGCTGTTCGGTCAGTGTTGAACAGCTGTTGTCGAAAAGGTTGGTTAGTGGCGGCCGTCTCGGCAAACGGTGCGAGGATGGCTGCTATAGCGGCGAGTTGTTCGGTGGTCGCTCTCTGCGCTTCGTCTTGGCATGACGGAGTCGATGAAAGTCAAAGCGAGTGGTACGGCGGTAGCCGTAGTCGATGCTACTGTGTCTCCCTCTTCGCCGGAGGTTGAATCGTTACTCGGACTCATTCCTATGTTGACGCTACTTTGTTATGCCCCACGGTGGGCGTCAACTGTTTGAACTAGGCCTGGGCATTTTACCCAGACCCGAAGACCCGAACCGGAACCGACCCGAAAATACCCGACCCGAACCCGGCCCGAAAATTTACAAGTACCTATTGGGTCTAAATTTCTTTTACCCGAATAGACCCGGACCCAAAAAGAACCGACCCGAATAGACCCGATCCGATAAGAACCGATTTGTACCCGACTTATAAACATGTATATCCAAAAATATTATTTTGTGTTATGTTTTATATATCTATAATATTTTATAGTTTAGTTGAAATATCTTTTGTTAACAATATTTATTATTATTTGTAACATTTTAAAGTAATATAAAGTTTTAAAATGTAAAATTTAGAGTTTAAAAATGTTTTCTTTAATTATTAATAGTTTAATTTAAGTTATTTTATAAAATTTTAGATAAATATGAAAAATATTGACTGAATTTGAGTGAGTTTGGGCATGTTAAGTATTTTTTAGATTCTAAATACCCGGACCTGATCCCGACCCGATATGGATCCAAAAATTGCGGGTATTTTATAGGTATTGGAATTATAGACCCGAAAAATCATAGGTACCCATATGGGTCTAAATTTCCAAGACCCGAAAGACCCGGACCCGATAGGAACCGACCCGAACCCGACCCGAGGACCCGGATGCCCAGGCCTAGTTTGAACCGAGTTCGATCTTCTATGAGTAAAGAGAGTGACAGGACTCGTCGGTGGGTTATTTCAAAGGTGTTTTACTATTTATGAGTGGAAGAGTAAGTTTATTGATGAGAGAGTTGATGTACAAATAAGGAAACAAACGAGACGAGACGATGTTGCTCGGGGAGCTTAGCCGTGAAAGTACAAGTCGGAGAATACAAAGAAGTGAAAACCCTAATTCTAGTTGTCTTGCAAATAAGTAATCGATTTCGGATCCCCATTCTCATTATCTCCTCCTCTCCTTATAGTGTGCTCTGCTTCTGGACAATGACCTAGATCAATGTCCCTTAAGAGGTCCCTCGTCGATAGGCTTTCTGATCGGTCCATTATGGCGTGTATTATTCGGCTGCCTTTTGTCGTTTAGTCGTAGGCGACCTTAAACTTGGGTCGAACCGAGGCGCAATCGACCATTGGGCCGGCCTTGATCATTTCTAAGCAGGCTTTTCCTGTTATCCGGTGAGCCATAAAGGATGGGGCAATCCACCTACTACATCCACCCCTAAATTATATGGTGTAAAAAGTTTCTGAAAAAGTCAGAAGTTACGTTCGTTTTCAGTGTCCTCTCAATTTATTTCGTCGTTCTCTTTTTGATCACCTCAACTGCGACGAAGAGAACGAATCAAACCCTGCCACACACACACACCCTAGAAGACGACAACGACCGAGACAAAGAGGACTTATTCTTATCGATGTATAATAACTTCAAACCGACCTTTGAATTTTCCAGATCGTGAAACCAGAAGCCAAACCAAGCTTTACAAACTTCCGCTCCCAAACCGATGAATCCAATCCAATCGCNACTGCGACGAAGAGAACGAATCAAACCCTGCCACACACACACACCCTAGAAGACGACAACGACCGAGACAAAGAGGACTTATTCTTATCGATGTATAATAACTTCAAACCGACCTTTGAATTTTCCAGATCGTGAAACCAGAAGCCAAACCAAGCTTTACAAACTTCCGCTCCCAAACCGATGAATCCAATCCAATCGCCACAAGCACTAACCGCTCCGGTTAAGAACCGTCCTCGCCGCCGTCTAGACCTCTCCTTACCACTTCCTCAACGCGACGTTTCCCTCGCCGTACCTCTCCCCCTCCCACCAACTTCCTCCTCAGAGCCTAAGAGCTACTCAGACTTAGTACGTGGCGACCGAATCGGAAGCGGAGCCGGTGGAACTGTCTACAAAGTAGTTCACCGTCCAACCTCTCGCGTGTACGCGCTCAAGATAATATCGGGTAACCACGATGAAACTGTTCGTCGCCAAATCTGCAGAGAGATCAAGATTCTCCGAGACGTGAACCACCCGAACGTAGTGAAATGTCACGAGATGTTCGATCAAAACGGAGAGATCGAGGTTTTGCTTGAGTTCATGGATAAAGGATCTTTAGAAGGTGCTCATGTGTGGAACGAGCATCACTTATCTGACCTCTCTCGTCAGATATTAAACGGTTTGGCTTATCTTCACCGCCGTCATATAGTCCATAGAGACATCAAGCCTTCGAATCTACTTAGAAATTCTGAAAATAACGTCAAGATTGCTGATTTTGGAGTGAGTAGGGTCTTGACTCAGACCATAGAGCCTTGTAACTCCTCTGTTGGGACCATTGCTTACATGAGTCCTGAGAGAATCAACACGGATTTGAATCAGGGCATGTACGATGGTTGTGCTGGTGATATTTGGAGCTTTGGTGTTTGTGTTCTTGAGTTCTTCTTGGGGAGGTTTCCTTTCAATGCGAAAGGTGATTGGGCCAGTCTTATGTGTGCTATTTGTATGTCCCAGCCGCCTGAAGCTCCGGAGAATGCGTCTCCCGAGTTTAGACACTTTGTTTCGTCTTGCTTGCAGAGAGAACCAGCGAGGAGGCAAACCGCGGTTCAGCTTTTGCAACATCCTTTTGTGCGTCAGAATAGGTCTCCTCAGAATCTATATCAGCTCTTGCCTCATCCTATGTCGTCGTCTTCTTCATAGCATTTGGTCTCAGTCCTTTGCTACTGTTCTTGAATGTTGTCCATTTCTTTGCAAGCTTTTGCATTACTTATCAAGACGGGTCTGGTTTATGAGGAGTAAAAACAAGAATTTTGGAAAGTGGAGATATGGTATAGGGATGATTTTGTATCTCTTTTTGTTGGTTAATGTTTACTAGAAAGGGAAAGAACAATGTGAAATTCTTATGCGTAATCATGGCAATAACAAATGTAGCTTACCGAAATTGTTGAATTTTCATAAAAGTTTTGCCTTGTTCCTGTTATTTTGCTTCTTGATTTGCATCTTAAGCCTCTGTTTTTTTTTTCCATTTATGAAATGGCTTAGTGATCAGGGTTTAGTTTTGTCTGATAATGTTTCTATACTCGAGCTTGATTATGTCTTGTTGTTAGGTTGTCTTGTAGTTAGCTGAAAGCAAAGCGTAGATATAGATTCATTTTTTTTCACTCGTGACTCCCTTCGTTGGTTTATTTCACCAAGTAACTTGAGTAGGAGACTCGTTAACTGTTGTAAGAAACCAAATTTGCATCTCTTGACCATCATTTGATCCCTAGTCCTTCCTACTACCATTTCTATGTATTTTTGTGTACGCTGCATTCTCAAGCTAAACTAAGTTTAATACTGATTCTTGCAAAGACCATTATAATCATGAAAATGTTAATAACATGACCTTGAGCGTTGAGGATTTTTTTTATTTTTAGTTTTTTGTTTCCACCAATCTCCGACTCCGCAGTACGGCTCAGTTTTTCGGAAGACAATCTTGTATTAGTGTTAAAATATGCCTTGAATCTGCGAGCTGACGAATCGATCGATACAGGAGTCACGTATCGGTCGATCTGACCCGACACATATCGGTCGATGCAAGAGCTAATGTATCGGTCGATATGTGTCAAATCCGAGAAATATGGAAAGTTTCATTAAAGACTTTCTTATATATATCTTTAGGGTTTTACCCTAGTCTGAAGCACGAAATTGTACTCTGAAAATTCGCCTCCATTAATAAAGTACTATCTTTGCCCGTGGGTAGCCGTTAGGGACAAACCACGTTAAATCTCTGTGTCTTTCTTTTCTATTCATCTATCTATTAATCTGTATCTTCTCACATCTGTCACAACAAACTAGTATCAGAGCTTCAGGGTTGAATCTGGTGAGAAGATGTCTGGGATGAATATGAAGATAGACAAGTTTACTGGAAGGAACAGTTTCAGTCTCTGGCAAATCAAGATGAAGGCGTTGCTGAAGCAACAAGGTCTTTGGGCACCGTTGTCAGGGAAGAAGGTTGAAGCTGTTACTGCTGAGATGGAGGTTACTGAAGAGAAGGCGTATTCAACGATTTTGTTGTGTCTGGCAGATGAGATCATCATCGAGGTTTCTAGTGTTGATACTGCAGCTGATTTGTGGTTGAAGTTGGAGAGTCTATACATGACGAAGTCTCTAACTAAAAAGCTACTTCTGAAACAACGTCTTTTCGCTCTGAGGATGCAGGAAGGTACACAACTTCAGGATCACCTTGATAGTCTAAATTCCATTATATTAGATCTGAGGAATATAGACGTTAAGGTGGAGGATGGGGATGCGGAACTGATTTTATTGGTTTCACTTCCTAACTCATATGAGAACTTTGTTCAGTCATTCATAGGGAGTAAGGATACAGTGAGTTTGGAGGAAGTCAGGTCGGCACTTCATAGCAGGGAGTTGCGTCACAAGGCATCTAGTTCTGGTACAGATGACCAAGCTTCTGGGTTGTTTGTAGGTGGTGGAAAGAACTTTGGAAAAGGCAAAAGGTCGAAAGACAAAAAGTCGTTTTCAAAGGGTCCTAAACCAACTAATATTTGCCATTATTGCAAAGAGAGAGGGCATTGGAAATCAGATTGCCCCAAGAAGAAGAAGCAAGCTGGTTCCGCAGCGGTAGCTGAGGATGAAGCTAAGTCTGATGACGATATTGCTCTAGTTGCTCATGGAAAACACATTCTAGGGATGTGTGGGTTCTAGACATAGGAGCGTCATATCATATGTGTCCAAGGAGGGAATGGTTCTCAGAGTATGAGGGAGTGACTGATGGCAAGATCAAGATGGCGAATGACTTTGCTTGCGATATTGCAGGAATCGGTTCCATTAAGCTCAGGACACATGAGGGTAGAATCTGTACATTGACTGGAGTTAGACATGTTTCGTCCATGTCCAAGAACTTGATCTCAGTTAGTCTTTTGGATAGTAGGGGTTTCAAGTATTCAGGTGGAGATGGAGTTCTGAATGTCTACAGAGGTTCAGTTGTGATTTTGAGAGGTTTCATTCATGGTACTCTGTATTTGCTGGACGGCTCTACAGCTTTAGGTTTAGAAAATGTTGCATCTCCAGAGGTTCGCAAGGAAGATATGGACAAGCTGTGGCATATGAGGCTTGGACATATGAGTGAGCGTGGGATGCAGATTTTATCGAAGAAAGATCTTCTTTGTGGTCATAAGACCAATAGTCTTGAGTTCTATGAGCATTGTGTGTTTGGGAAGCTACATAGAAAGAGATTTCCTAAGGTTGTTCACAGGACAAAAGGCACACTGGATTACATCCATTCAGATTGTTGGGGTCCCTCCAAGGTGGAGTCGCTGAAAGGTCACATGTATTTTGTGTCCATGATTGATGATTATTCAAGGAAGACTTGGATAACATTCATGAAACATAAAAGTGAAGTTTTCAACAGCTTTAAGGAGTGGAAGATACTGGTGGAGAATCAAACGGAGAAGAAGATTAAGAGGCTTCATACTGATAATGGTCTGGAATTCTGTTCATCAGAGTTAATCAGTTTTGTAAGGATGCAGGGATTGCTAGGCATCATACAATCAGGCATAACCACAGCAGAATGGTGTAGCAGAGAGAATGAACCAGACATTGCTCGAGAGAGCGAGGTGCATGCTTTCAAATGCTGGTTTAGAGAAGAGGTTTTGGGCTGAGGCAGTGAACACGGCTTGTTATTTGATCAATCTGGGACCACATACTGGGATTGAGTGTCGAATACCTAATGAGGTGTGGTCAGGTAGGTCTGCTGATTACTCTATTCTAAGAGTCTTTGGTTGCACAATTTACTATCATGTTAATGAAGGAAAGCTGGAACCAAGAGCTAAGAAGGGAGTGTTTATGGGCTATGGAGATGGTGTCAAGGGATACAGAGTTTGGTCTCCTTCTGAGAAACGAGTGATCATGAGCAGGAATGTTGTGTTTGATGAGAGTTCTATGATCAAAGTTTCAACTGAGTCTCTTTCAGAAGCAGAGCAGGATGATTTTGACAAGCAGGTGGAGTTGCAGGAAGTGCAGTCGGATGAACCATATCGATCGATGACAGATCAACCGTGTCGATCGATGACGGGTCAGCAGTGTCGATCGACATCGACCACTCAGTATCGATCGATGACAGATGGTCAGGATCGATCGATATCGGAAGAAAAGGTCGATTGATCATTGACAACAAGCAGCCCGAGACGTGTAATTCTGAGAGTCAACTTGTTGGGTCTGAAAAACGCAGTATTGCTAAAGATAGACCAAGGAGAGTTGATGTCAGGCCACCAGCGAAGTATCGGTTTGAAGATATGGTGGGTTATGCATTACAAGTTGCAGAGGAAGTGGACACTTACGAGCCGTCTACTTACAGAGAAGCCATCTTAAGTTATGCATCTGAGAAATGGTTTGCTGCAATGGAGATGAGATGGAATCTCATGAAAAGAATCACACATGGGATCTGGTCACACTACCACACGGGAGAAAGGTTGTGACTTGCAAGTGGATTTACAAGTTAAAGGATGGTCAATCACCAGAAGAAGGACCAAAGTACAAATGTCGAGTTGTTGCTAGAGGTTTCAGTCAAAGAGAAGGCGTGGACTACAATGAGATTTTCTCACATGTGGTCAGACACACTTCTATCAGAGTGCTATTGGCGATAGTGGCACGTCAGGATCTGGAGTTGGAGCAACTTGATGTGAAGACTGCTTTTATTCATGGAGAACTTGAGGAGGATATTTATATGACTCAACCTGAGGGTTTTCTGGTTCCTAGTAAGGAAGATCATGTTTGTAAGTTGAGGAAGTTACTTTATGGACTTAAGCAGTCTCCTAGACAGTGGTACAAGAGGTTTGACAGCTATATGGTCAAGTTGGGCTACGCCAGGAGTCCTTATGATTGTTGTGTCTACATGAGCAAGGTGGAGGATGGATCTTATATCTACTTGGTGTTGTATGTAGACGACATGCTGATAGCTGCCAAGAAGAAGTGTGATATTCAGAAGCTGAAAGAGCTACTGAGTTCTGAGTTTGAGATGAAAGATTTGGATGCTGCAAGGAAGATTATAGGAATGGAGATTTTCAGGGATAGGGCGAAGAAGAAGCTGTTCTTGTCACAGAAGGCCTACATTGAAAAGGTTTTGACGAGATTTGATATGCTTAATGCTAAGCCTATCGATACTCCATGTGCTACAAATTTTCATCCTACCATGAGTGATGAAATGTCTGAAGGGGAAATCGATTATATGTCACGAGTTCCATATGCTAGCACTGTAGGAAGTCTGATGTATGCTATGGTCTGTACAAGACCAGATCTTCCACATGCAGTGAGTGTGGTTAGCAGGTTTATGGTTCAGCCACGCAAGGAGCATTGGATGGCTGTGAAGAGGATTTTCCGGTACCTTAAGGGTACATCTGATGTTGGTTTTGTCTATGGAGACCAAGGATCCAAGACTGGTTACTGGTTATTCTGATTCAGATTATGCAGGAGATGTGGACAGCAGGAGATCTATGACTGGTTACGTATTTACTTTGGGTGGTTCTGTTGTGAGCTAGAAGGCGACTTTGCAGTCGACGATGACTTTGTCTACAATTGAGGCAGAGTATATGGCATTGACAGAAGCTGCTAAGGAGACAATATGGTTGAGAGGATTGGTCAGTGATCTTGGTCTTCATCATGATCAGGCTACTGTATTCTGTGATAGCTTGAGTGATATCTGTTTAGCCAAGGATCATGTTCATCATGAGAGAACCAAGCATATTGATGTGAGATACCATTTTCTGAGAGATGAGAAGAGGATTAAAGTGAAGAAGGTAGGAACAGCTGATAATCCAGCATATATGTTCACTAAGCCGGTTCCTCACAGCAAGTTCAAGCATTGTCTTGAATTGCTGAACATCTCAAGCTGTTAATATGGCCCTGAGGGGCATCTGGCCCTGAAGGGCATCTGGCCCTGAGGGGCATCTGGCTCTGAGGAGCATCTGGTCCGACGGG